TCATATTAAATTGTAGCAATTTTTCTTCCGCCAGCCTAGTACACGCTTGAGCCATTTTAGTCGTCTAATGAAAGTTGCGAGCGCACTAGTGAACCGCGCCGCGTCGGGCCTCAGGTGTACCCATCCTAGACTGGCTACCTTCCAGTTCGCTTTATAATAACATGTTGAAACGAGGAGATGGCAGGGACGTCTAATGCCTAGGCTCCAACGATAGCGAGAAACGTATAGCAAACGTAAAGCAAACGTTAGATTGGGTCTCCGCCTAATAATTTATTCGATATAGATTGAAAGTATAGAGACATGGTACCAGTCTAAATGTCGGTGTGCCGCTCGAGGCGCTGCCATTTTCTCTACTACGCGCCATATTGGTATTGCGTGTGATTTGGTCGTGCGACGTTGTTTAGGTAAAAGTTACTTGTTTGCACAATATATGACTAGCTCATACTTCGTATAGTGTTATATAAATTATAAATATGTTCTCGTTGCCTTTTGATTTCATAGATGGGAATATCGAAGTCGAAGGCTGGTCATATTCTTCGAATCAGCTGGATGAATTTGGAATGGAAATCGGGGTCAACGACAGCCTGAGCTTTGGCGTCGGCCCATTCAGCGGCAAGGCAACCTCAGTTTTACAAGGCACACGTAGAGAGAACGAAGATACTTCAATAAGGAAAAACGAGGAACACCTTGCAGAGTCCAGAAGAGGCAAATTTGCTACGATAGAAACAGAAGCCGTGAAAGGGCTAGATTGCTTGTACACAGACTTATTTCCTGAACTGTCTTTTCCTAGCTCTCAATTTGTGGGAGAATACGCGAGAATACGTTCACAGTCGTTAACTTCTGGGTTTGACTTCAATTCCATTGATTCAACAAATACCATGGCTGATGTAGAGTTGTCATCACCCTCCCTGACAGTGGATAAAGAACAACTGGCTTTGCCCATAAACGAATTTGATGATGTTCTCTGCAACATAATAGGAAGTGAGCCGTCACTGCCCACGACAGGGCTGGACAGGGCAGGAAAGATAATGCCTGAAATGAAAATGGATTTCAGCGACTCTGGGTCAGAACTTTCATATCAAGCTGACATTAAATGTGTGGAGTCAGAATTGGTAGCTCCTTTTCTACAAGTCATTCCTTGTTCAAGTGAAGGGTTTGTAAAGTCGCCAAGATCTAGTACATGCAAAAGTAGCCTACACAACGTCATTACCGAAGACACGTCTCTGTCTAAAAATGCAATTGCAGCTCGTGAAAATCGAATAAAGAAGAAAATGTATGTTCAAACCCTTGAGAAAAACTCTAAGGAACTCGGAGCAGAAAACAAGAAAATGAAAAATCAAGTTGTGTCTATGAAGTCAATGTTGCGCTCATTACAGAAAGAGGTTGATTATTTGCGGGATGTATTGGCTAATCAGAGTGAATTGGCTTCACTGCTCATGAACATTCAAAGCACAGGTATGAAGCTTGCTACATCCATCAATTCAAAAGCACCTACAAAGCGAATGCATGCAGCAGACTGTAAACAGTCGTGCAAGTGCCATGCATGCAAAAAGGAGAATTTAACGAGTACTGAAGTGCCCAGTAGACCAACGACTAGGTTATCGAAACGTCAGAAACTTGGTCCGTGTTCTGCCCAGCCGCCATGTAAGCAGACACCATTTCCTGGCAGGTCTCCATTGATAACCAGCAAAAGGAACAGTGCTATGGTCAGGCAAGATCCCACTGGTGGAGTCTGTCTCCATGTGTCGAGTGGAAGAATCTCAGTAGAGTTTTGTCCACAGTGTAGTGAAAATGCCAGTCAAGTCGCTCTCGATCATTGCTATGGACTGCCAGGTAACAGGGAGTCCGGTGCTGAGTCGGACGGAGACAGCTGTGCATCAGACATTTAAGTTGCTGTCTACATTTGTGTGCGTCATTCAGCAAGGTTTGCCACGACATGTAAGGACTAGATACAAGCGGCGATAATCTTCAGCACATTCTCCTGACCACTCAGTGGACAGGGACTGCAATGGCCTACACTTGATTTTGCTACAGATGGTGAATGAATCCAAATGGTCGGTATATTACTGATAACGTATGAATCAGTACTAATTGTTAACCAGTTGTCAGATGTTAAGGATTCCCACTGTCTTATGGGTTTCATTGCATTGAGAAAAGAGTTATATAGAGATATAACATTCAAAAAGTTATGTTACTATCATTTCCGTCTGCATTTGTTTCCTGGCCGTTATCCTTTCCAAATGAAGCTGGTTATCAATATCGGTTGCTATGCATTGTGAATGCATTTACGGTTTTACCCGTGCATGTATGGCAAGAGAGAATGAATTATTAGAGTAGACAAGGAATGAGGTAGGGGCAAGAGCACTTTTATCTGGACTATGTCATGCAAATGATGAAGGTCAGTGACAAGCTGCTGTATTTTGTGATCTGCAGTCTGAACTACATTGGTAAAGTTACATGATTGATTAATATTTTGCACGCATGTATTGTATGATGTAACCCAGGGGAAAAATTTCATTTTTTTCACGGGAGCTCTTTTTTCAAGTCTGTGGGAAAATTAGTTATCGTCAAAAATTTTACGGGAGCTATTTTGAACCTCACATGAGCGATTTCGGAGGTTTGAAGAGCGTATCGCTCATCGCTCCCGTGTATTTTTTACCCTGATGTAACCTTACTTACTGTAATAATCCATCCTCTCTTGATCTATAGTGGAAACCAGTACTGATTGCGAGTGGTATACGTTTTAGGTACAGTGTGATACCATTGATGAGAACAAACTGAAGTCTGAATGGACAGTCGAGCACTACTATCAGTTAAGTTTACAGATGGTTTAGTATGCTTACTGGTTCAACACATTGGTCAGTATATTTTTGTGCTGGTTTCGAAACGTTTACTACTATCAGACCTCGTGATGGAGCATTAATTATTAATTAATTAATTATCTAATAGATTTTCTATTAATAGTCACACACTAAAAACAAATTTTTCCATTTCGGGACGTTTGATAGTAGGTATATCAATGAATGTTATGTATCTCATAGCTGTTTACTTGCTGTAATGCTTTCGTTATGACATGTATGAGTATTGTTTGTGTCAATATTGGTATGTAAGTAAGTAAAAACGTTATTTAACAACGGTAAAACATGTTAGGTACGTTACTATTGTGGTGGATCTTACGTTTTAAATCATTTATGTTAAAAATTGTTCTTGCATACCATTCTCTATAGTTTTGAAGGTATTTCTCTTTGGTTTACTTTCTCTTTTCAGCTCGTCGATTCTGAAGGAAGATAACGTGCAAGAAAAGTGGTTTGTAATAATTGAGAACGCGTGCAAGAAGGAAGGACTTGCAAATAACTTCACTCTGGTTTATTTGTTGATACCTACCAAACATTTACCTATGGCATTATATTTTAAAGTTTGCAGTTCAGCTTGAGTTTTTAGGATCATGTTTAGTTAGCAATGTAAGCAAATGTCTTCGTTTATGTTGTTTAGTTAAGTAAAATGTATTATAAATAGTTACCAGTTTTCATGGTTTGTGCCTTTGTGGTGATGTCCGTTAGTCGTTCAAGGTATAGCATCTAAAAATGGATAGTGCAGTACCACTTATGTGCAGCCATCTTCTAAATATAATGGAGAGCTGTTGTTGATGGAATCCATTTGTAAATTGCAAAGCAAAAAATTGGAAAATCTTTTGTATTTTTAGATATATAAAAAACTGCTGCACCTAGGTTATGGATGGGAAAAGATGTAATGACTTGACGAACCCATATGTATGGTAACGTTATATAATCTTGCTAGGAGTAGGAATAGCATTCGTATGATAAAAATGTTGCTTTTGTTGTCTATTAGGTGACAACCACTGTCCTTTATGATTGGGTTTATTCAATATCCAGTCAACGTTCACCACACTGGCTGATTTCATACCTCTATTTAACCTTAGCCTTAGCCAGAAGTACTTTCGTTGTTCATATCGGAAGCATCTAATCTTGTGAGAAGTAACAACTTCATGTGAAATCCCGGTGAAATATTAAATATGGTTTAGGATTCATTTGCAGTGGCCCTGCAGGCTTAGCAGTCTGAGAAAACCACGGGACCTAAAATGGCCCCGTCATTTACTCGACGGGGCTGATTTTCTCTAGGCAGGGGCTAATTTTTGTATACTGATTAATTATGTAATAAAAGTTTTAAAATCACAAAATTTGACGGGGCAGGAACAAAAGCCCCGTGGACACCAGAGACGGGGTTGTTTACGGGGCTTGGGCCAATCGGCCCCGTGAAAAGGCGAAGCCTTCTCTGTCAAATAGTAAGTTTGGAAGTTTTGATTCTTGATTGGTAATGCAGTAATACCCTAACAGTTCATAAATGTATGTATGGAAGTGCATGCTAACCTACGTGACTAAAATAGCCCAGGAAACGATGTAGCGTAGTGGATTATGCCAAGGTTTGTCGAATGTCTGTTGAAAATGTGAAAACATTGCTTGCTGTACTTCGTTATTTGCATGGGAACAAGTGGTTTCATTATCTAAATATGAACGCACTTGGGCATGAAGCATAAGACGTGTATGAAACTATCGGGAGTAAATATAATCACACATTTGTGATTATTTACTCCTGAACTATGTATGTATATAATAATAATAACCAAATGATTTGTAATGCTGGTTGCATTTACCATACAGTTTGCATAGGAATACTTATAGAAATCTTTCCATTGCTGATGAAAAATGTGGAGAATATATTGTAAAACACTAAACTCGAACTCGCACTAGGCAATTGGCCTATTTATTGTGTTTTTGATCTGAGTATTGCAAATATGACAATTGTGATGTACAACAAGTCGTATATATATGCGTGTACATGTTTTTGTTCTCAGACTCACGTTTATTATTAATATTACTATGGATTGCACATTGATTGTATAAAGTTCAATTTCGACACAGTGACACCCCCTCATGGCTCATACTAGCGAAGCTCACTCGCGTTGCAAGCCAACTATACATGTAGTACTGTATACAAATTGAGTTCTAAAAAAGATCTAAACGTTCTGCCCTAAAAGGTGCATAAAACGCGTGTTTAGCGCAGAGATGGGGGGTCAATTAAATTGGGGCAGGAATAGTGCTCATTTGAGCCAGAGAACTCGATCCCAACCAAGGAACTACATATAACAGTTATATCAAGAGTGCATAATAGAGTGCATATCTCTATTATGCACTCTTGGTTATATGTAGCTCCTTGGATCCCAACTATTGCTGTATAGTATTGCGGCCCAGGAGCGCCACCTATGGTATTCACACGAGTTATATCAAATTTCAAACTATTTCAAATTTCAAACTTGATTTCTAATTTCAATCTCGATTTCCGATTTCAGACTCGATTTCCAATTTCAAACTATTTCTTATTTTAAACTATTTACAATTAATTTCTAATTTCAAACTCGAGTAAACATTGTAAACCTAACATCCCAACCGTATAAACATACAGAAATAAACATACAGAAATAACGTCCAATAATATTTAATTCGACGTTAGACAGACTTGATATTTTGCGTCGTCTGTGTTCCGCGACAAACGCATGACCATATGATAAACGCCATGACCATATGACGCACCATATGACACACCATATGACCATATGACAAACGCCAACCATATGATATTACGTCATCTGTCTGAGTTAAAAAGCTCGCTGTGATTGGCCATCTAAGGTTAGAGTCAAGAATAAAATGGCGGCCCCCACCGACGAATTGAGGGACCGAAGTGTAGACCTTTTATACAGTGAAATCCTTGCCAAAGATTCTTTGATATACTATCTGACACAGGTACGACCACAATACAAATCACTATTCTGTACTTGAAGACTGTACAGTCAATTCGCTCTCCCTCGCTGCGTTTATTAAAAAAATGCACGAATAACAGTTAACTAAACATACAACTTACAAGTAGGCCTACTTGTAGTAGTAATACTAGTACTACTACTACTAGTACTAGCGCACGAAGGTTCGTTGTCGTAACAGGTACGTACTACAGATATGTACCCAAGGTAGTTTTAGGTTGTTTAGTATTATGTTTATATTTTTATATGAGGTATGTTTAGGGTTAGAGTTAGGATTAGGGTTAGTGTTAGGGTTAGGGTACACTTCTGTAGTACAAGTCTGGTACACTTTGTGTATACATATATGTACCTCGGGTACATATCTGTAGTACCTGTTACGACAACGACCCCTTGAGTATGAGGATCAAGACTAAACGGTTATTGCCTTCCTGACAGTATTACCTACATGTTGATCGGTAAGTGATTACAGATTAGAGCTGCTGATTTTTGACATATGGAAAATGTACGTACTCAGTACTGTAGGCCTACTGACACTGTACTCTGTAGCCTACATGATTACTCGCAGCTGCAGTACTAGTAGTAGTACTAGTAGTAGTAGTACTAGTCAAGTGTCGTGACATAGGGTCTATATCCCCCAGGGTACTGCCGGAACGTACCCTGGGTACGGTCCGGTATACCAGAACGTACCCTGGTCACTATTTGATATGGTTAGGATTAGGGTTCAGGTTAGGGTTAGGGAGTAGGCGTAGGCGACTCCCTAGACTCGTTAGTGGAGTAGCCGGCTAGGTACGGTCCGGCATATAATATAGTACCAGGGTACGTTCCGGTATACCGGACCATACCCAGGGTACGTTCCGGCAGTACCCCGGGGGACATAGACCCTCTCAGCAGTAGTAGTAGTAGTACTAGTAGTAGTAGTAGTACTAGTAGTAGTACTGAAGCAAGAATCCCCCCAACATGCAGTGTAAAATCACGATAGCGTATCGACGTTCCAACTTCCACTGGTATCAACGAAGCAGCTGTAGACTAGATATACATCGTAACCAACCTAAGGCTAAGCGCACCGTTAGTCTTCAAAGTCCACGGGACTGTATCGAAGACGGAAAGAGGCAAATTTGATCAAATTGACCGGTCAATACTGCGGATCGCAGTAGAAAAAGCCTCAAGTTTGCCACCAACCAAAAATGAAGGGAGAGAATTCCAATATCATCATCATGGTAGGGGGACACCACACCATCCCCCCGCTCGGTCGCTCCACTCCCTCACATAATCTCACTCGCAACTCTAACTCAATGTTGGCAGCCCTGTACTATAGTATTACTATTAGTAATTACAGCCTACAGGCTACAGATGCCCCTATCTTTGTGGGTGAGGGCTAATCTATTTCTATACTACTACTGCTACTACTACTTCTGCTGCTGCTGCTGTTGCTACTACTGCTATTACCTTGTCATGCACATAACAGATATGATAACCTATCTTTAACTGTATTAATCTTATTGACTATGCCACAACCACAATGTCCACATTCCACCTCACCACATATCCTGCAGAAGTGGCAGTGCTTTAATGCCAGAGTAAAACAATTGGGTAAAAAATGTGTCCAGTTGGTATTTTTACACAATAACTTCACACCTATGCACAAATTGAAGAGAGTTTTCAGCCATCGTTTCATGTAAGTTGTAGCCAACAGAATACATCACATCCTGTAAAAATGTCATATTCGGTGGCATGATAGGAGAAAAATCTTTTCAATCTGTGTGTATTTTTGCAAAATTGCATGCTGCATAAAAATACTATTACTAATCTTATGCATTTTAGCCTACTATTTTACTCTAACATTACTGCCGCTGATAGGGTCTATGTCCCCCAGGGTACTGCCGGAACGTACCCTGGGTACGGTCCGGTATACCGGAACGTAACCTGGTACTAAATACTACTATCTCATATGCCGGACCGTACCTTGCCTACTAGACTAACGAGTCTAGGGAGTTGCCTACGCCTACTCCCTAACCCTAACTCTAACCCTAACCCTAACTCTAACCCTAACCATATCAGCTAGATAGTTACCAGGATACGTTCAGGTATACCAGACCGTACCCAGGGTACGTTCCGGCAGTACCCTGGGGGACATAGACCCTATCAGCATTACTGCCACTACCGACTACTGCATATAAATTCGAGTTTGTCAGAAGTCGACCAGGGGTGTAATTTATTAGGTAGGTTGTGTTCGTGATGTAAAACACTATGAATATACTAACTATATTTATTATTAATATTAGTGTACATGCATGCATACACACGCACACATGCACGGGCACGCACAGAGAGAGAGAGACACACGCAGAGATACACATCGTTATATATGGGCCACACGCCCAAGAATAGTGTCCCGTACGTTGTAACGAAGGCTAGTATGCATTTTCTCGTGAAAATTTGAACGTTGTATTGAAGTTTACGTTATAAAGGTGTACGTTGTAAACGATACTGGCAAGTGGAATAATGCATTACACAAATTCGGTACTTGGAGATGTGTGCGTTGTAGCAGTGTAAACGTTATAAACAGGGTATGTACTAACGAAGGTCGACTGTACATGATCGCAAGTAAACTAAGGTATACAAATGTTGAATTTTTATGTTTCAAGTGACCCACACTTCTTTGTTCATAATGTATTCCTGATTAAATTAGCCATGTTTCTAACTATACTTGTCTTTGCAGTTCCAGTACTCAGTCACTACACTGTTTATTAAAACAATGAAATTATGCTTACAGAGTGGTTGCCCACTGGCAAGTCTGACAAGCCTACAGCAACAGGAACTTATAAATCTATATAACAAGGTTGTGTTGCCCTGGCCACAGAGACACTACAGGTTTGTGTAAAATATATGTGTCATATGTTGGGTTGTTGAATTTCCATTTTTCTATCATGTTTGTTTCTTTATTATGGACCAGTATCTATGAACCTAAATGTATCAGACATTAACATGGTATAACATTATATCTATTGCTGCATCTCATATATACTAGTATTTCAATAATAAGCCCATTTTTTATGGTAATAAAGAATGGCCATTGCTACACGTTCAGTTACCGGACGCGCAGCTCCCAGGCCACGCGTCCGGTCATATATATCGTATGTGAACCCAACTATATATTTTTCAGTAAACAACAATAAACAATGAGTTTTTACCATAATATTACTTACCTTTAGGTATTTTATAAAAAGAAATGTGTTTTTGTAACTTTTAAAGCAATAGTAAATCCAGTAAAATCAACGATTTGAAAGGGGGGTGTGACCTAATCGGGACATGTATTGGGGAATCTGTGCTGAGCTTTGTAATGGATGACCGGACGCGTAGCCACTGCGATAAAGAATTGTCTGTGTTCACGAGTATGTGCATGCATGTCTGTGCATGAATGTACGTGTGCTTGCGGGCATGTGTGTAAACACTTGCTTGCCTTGTAACTGTTATACATGTATAGGTAATAGTTAGAAATGTTCACCTATTGCATAAATTCACCGCATCAACGTAGATGTTCACTTGATTGATTGCAGAGCAGACTAGAAGGGGAACAACGACTGCACAGATTGCAACACTTAGCCCAACCAGCGTTTAAGAAAAAGCACTGTTTGAGGAAACTATAATTGGGAAAAAGTAAGTTACTAAATGTGTTCGTCTTGAGCAATTTACCTGAATAACATCACAAAGAAGTAACAACAATATCAAGGTTTTCTAGTTACATTACTTACATGAACCTGTCACTTACAAAATGACTAATTACTAAATATGTAAACTGTGTTTATGACATTGATACTAGAATGCACATAGCCAACCATCATCTTGATGGAAACATAAGCAGGTAATTCTCTCTGAATGGATGGATTATTTTCTAAAGAAATATTAACTTTGTTACAATGTTTTATAATTAGCTGCTTTCCTACACTAATGAGTGGCCACACTAGCTACTTTTAAAGTCAACCCCTGTTATGTGGTATTTGTGTAGACATCAGACATATACACAGTTATAGGCAGGGCGGATCAAAGGGTTTGGGTACGCAGTTTCCATTAGTTCTAGTCACAGCTAGGGGGTCCCGGGGGCATGCCCCCCGACAATTTAAAAAAAAAAGGCTATATTTGGTGCATTCTGGTGAATTTTGAGGGTCAATTCTGAAGATACCCAGCCTGTGACCGGTTTCTGGAAATCGGTGCAAACCGGCCTAAATCCGCGCCTGGTATAGTCCTTCATAATAACAGTCAGTCCTATGTAAGTGATTGAGTAGGCATGCTTAACTACTCCAGTGTTTTATTACATTCTTGATCTGGAAGACTGTACCAGCTAAATGAAGCTCCCATCGAGCGACACCACCAAAGTTTAAAACAAAGTAACTGTCATAAATTCTGCCAGTGACCAGTCACCTTCTAAGGTCAATAGGTTAACCATATTACTTTTTCCTGCAGGCCTGCATATTTCAGAACGATCATCTGATTCACACACGACAGGCTCAACGTGAATAGTAAGGCTGTATCACGTTAAACCTCCTCCAGCAGCAAGCATGTGTGCCCATGAAATTGATCACGTTAGGTGCACTTAACACAGAGTCGACGCAGAGGAAGCTAAAGTTGAAAAAGACAGCCAGTTGCGTTTCCAGTAACAGCAGTGAAGAGACAGTTTGTCATGTGAGTGAAGTAGCGAATGCATCAAAGACTTCAGATGGTAAAACTGATGCTGAGTTGTTGAGGTGTCAGAAGCATCTGGTGAAGTTGACAGAACATTCATCACTGCCGTCTACGGGATTGCCTCCACGTTCAAGGCAACAAGGTCATGATCAACAGAACTTACACAGCGAGGAAACTGCCCCAACAACAAACGAAAACTAGTGACGATTGAAAAATATGAAAGGGTGATTTTAGACGATGAGGCAGGTGACTTCAGAGAAGCTCGAAAAAAACACCGCAGTGCCAACCCAGCTAAGGTTCTTAGCGTGAAAAGAAGCCTGTGTTAAAGAGGGTAGGCCATGTTGTTCATTAGTATTTAACTGTACAGATGACACCAGTTATATAACATTTGTCTCTGAAGGGCATACATTCAGGGTTACAGACAGTACCGTCTGTAAGGGCATTGCAAACATATAACTGCTTACGCAAATTATTCAAACACATATCTATTTCATAAAAGAGATTTCTCTTTACCGCTCACGATGAAAATAATCATTAAAAAATTCATCGCTAATTACGTGATGGCAAAAATTGTAAATTTATACAAACAATTCTTTTCCTTATTTCTCCAAAAACAGCAAAGAGTTGGGACCTAAACTTTTAGCCCTAAGTTGTTCATAGTACGTATGACTAAAAAATAGTCCTGGAATTTTTTTCCAAAATGTTTTATTTTAGGATATAAGTTGAAAAGATGCATGAAAATCTTATTTTTTGTAAGATACAACAATATCGCATAAATAAACAGCCATAACTTCTAAAATAAAACATTAAAAAAAAATTCCAAGGACACTTTTTTTAGTATACATATGAACAACTTATACTCTAAAGTTTTAGTCCCAACCCTTTGCTGTTTTGAGAATAAAAAAAGAATTTTTTTGTATAAATTTAGCTATTTTTCCGTCACGTAATTATGCGATGAATTTTTTATAATTATCATTTTATAGTGAGCGTAACTTTTTATTAAATAAGATGTTTGATTGAATTTGGTGAGCAGTAATATTGCAATGCCCTTTACAGAGGTACCTGTCCGTAACCCTTATTGTATCCTGAAAACTGAACTATACGTTAAAAATACAACACGCAATTTGTGATATTCATAAAATTTTTGAATTAATCACTTATTATTCTTTTCAGGTTGGATCCCCAAGTTCTGAATTAGAACAAAACATGCGAGGATACCTGGCCTGAACAGCAATAAACTTACAGCTTGTATGTGAAATAATGAATATTTTTTATAGGTTCCAACAGATCCATTTCCCTGTATGCCTCTTAAAGCAAGCAGTCCACAGCAATGACACAAATCGCAGTATTCACCAAAATTTAATGTGATCTTTCCACCTTTGTTGAAAGGGATACTTTCCCCTAAATTTAGAGTATATTATGAGTGCATAAATAATAACCTACAAATTTAGTAATTACCCATTCACGTTTGTCATAAAACAACATGAATTTCGAAATCTTTTAATTTTGACTGCTGACATGATACCGCGCGATTATTTGCTGACACCCCTGAAAAGCTCCGCTTTTTCCAATTTATTTTACACGTTACAGACGATGGCAAATCAAAAAGTGCAATTATATTTATACCTAACTGCCTATTTAATTTTAACCAAACGAATTTTATTTAGGACAAATTCTCGTCAAATTTACTGAAACTAAGTGTGGTTTAAATATTGAATCCTCCCTCCTTAAAGTAATAAATAAGAAACACCTTCGTCTGTAGCCTGCAGCCGAAATGTGACCTTTGCGCAACCTGTTCAGTGGATGCGCTTCCAGTGGCGCCACCTGTCGTTGTAAGCAACGTATAGCCGTCAATTTAAAACATTAAAAATTTTAATTTCTATTAGAGTATTGAACCATAACAACTTTTAATATACGTAATTTAACATATTTTAACTGAAAATATCCAAATGAACCTAGAGTAATGTATCCTTTAATGACTTCTCTGTATTGCAACCTGTGTCAAACTTACGTAAAATAGTTTAAACAATCATGTTTTGAAGCTGTCATTCAAAGAAGTTGCACGTTGTAATAAAAAGAGTGTGTTTCATATGTGCTGTATGTTAATTATTTGTTAAAATTTATACTAATTAGTTGAGTGTAATTCTTACTATTACCCTGGTAGAAGCTATGTGACCATATGTGTTTCTGCTCTTCTCGCTTCCCTCAGCTGACGTCATGGTGTTGTCAGTATATGTATGCATAAACGCTACAAAAATTTCGTATATGAACACCCATACACGATATAATTTATATTCTTTAATGTTAGACATCTTAGTGTCTCCCACACCAATGCACAACCGCGGCAATAAATGCATGTCTGATCATGAAAGCCGCTCACAACAGTGTCCTTATAACGTGCGCGCGCGACACAACAAAAACACGCACGCACGAATGCTCGCACGAGCGCACGCACACCCGCACACACACGCACGCATGCACACAACGCACACACGCACGCATGCACACAAATACATACACACATACACACACACACACATACACACACGCTCACCAAACAAACAAACACGCACACAAACGCACAACATCTGCACAAACACGCGCACGCTCACCAACAAACAAACAGCGCACACACACACACACACACGCCGCGCGCGCGCGCACACACACACCACGCACGCACGCACGCACGCGAACCGGTGTTTACCCTG